GTTCAATTGGCCATCCTGCACTTTATTAGTCCAATGGGGTGCTGGCTGGCTCTGTCCTAAATACAGGTTTAAAACATATAATATATATTATGTGTGTTAATATGTATACATATACATATTATATATATATTATGTGTAGTAATATGTAGACATATGTTATATATTTTAAGTGTGGTAATATGTATATATACTTATTATCTATATACATATATATATAACATATCACAATATTTAGAATTGTGTATATTATAATATATGCTTATTATAATGTATAATCCCACTAGTTAAGACTTAGAATATATACTATATAGCATAATCATAATTTAATAATCACAACTCTACAGCAAGTATAATACATTACACTATACACACATTCCCATAAGGGTTTGCACAATACATTTCCATACATGCTTATACTGTACTTGATCATATTCCCCTGCACTACATCAGTTCCCGACCATGTCTTTGTGACTGATACTGTGACTTTCACACAAGCCTAGCCCTCTCCTTCCTCATGACCAGGATAGACAGGGTAGATCCTGGTTCTGTTTGTGGAGCTGCTTTGTCTCCTGTAGAACTCTATCTAGTTGAGCTACTTTCCTTAGAACACAACAGTTCTCTGGTCCCTGTGCTGAGGGTGGATTCTTCCCACAGTCTCCTTATGTGCTATGCTGTTGTTCCATTTGTTACAAATGTTACTTCTGCCATTCTGACCATGAACTGAGGGCTCTTTAGTGTGCTGCTGAGATGGAGATGAAGGATCAAGACTCTGGTTCATGATCTTCACATCTGTGTTCATCAAGGAGAGGAGCTCACACATGCTCCATTCCTTGAGCTTACTTGGTGGTGGGATCAGGCTAACACTGGCACAGGGATGAGTTTGGACGAGTGCCTTTGCTTTCTCTTTTGGGAAGTATTTTGTATAACCCTGCTCTTCATTCTTCTGGAAAGCTTTGAATGATTCAGGGATCCATGAGATCTGGGCTCTGCCTTGTTTGGAGCTTTTTTGCTGCAAGTCCAAACTTGTCTTAGTGACTTACGTGTTTAAGGGTTTTTGTTTTATCTTAATTCAATATTCACACATATCTAAGAATTCCTTTTAATATTTTCTTATTTTCAGGGGTATAAAAACTGTAACATCCATGAAAGACCCTCTGGACTGTAGTTGTATCAGTTACAACATAAATTTTTCCATAGTGGAATTTGTACCTCATCTCTCTCTATCAGCTTTGTTGAGGGGTTTGCATTGTGGCACATCCTTGAAGAGAAGCAGCTCATTCTCTCAGGGATCTCTAGAATTTCCTCACATACCAACTTTACTTATACCAACTCAAACCTTTCCTTGGATTCCTCATCCACTGCTTTGAGTTTGGGTTCTTCTAGAATTTTTATATCCTTGAAGAACATCATTACATTGTTTGGGATGTCTCAGATTTCATGACAGAGAATTCCCATCTACAGCCTTCCCTCCTTAAACTGCATTCATGTTTTTCTTTTAGCATTTTGTGGGTCTGAAATTTCCCACAGTATAAAGTGGTTGAATCTGAGCAGAACACCATGGGCAGCCACATGGAAGAGGACATTCTTGAAAAGGATTTCAGGATGCTGATATCTCTAGGCTGTGGTTCCTTCGGGGAGGTGAAGCTGGCCTGCCACCTTCCCACACATACACGAGTGGCTGTCAAGGTCCTTGAGAAAAATACCAACAGTG